CACCACAGATGTGTGAAAACCGTCTGATGACAAATTAACACAGTTTAGTGATTCCCTTGGTGGTTAACCAGTTATTTTATCTAAATACAAGGTTGCTGAGCATTTTCATTGATGTTCTCTTTGATGAATGTGTTTAAGCTTTTAAATCCCACAACCCTCTCATCACATTACATCTTTGAGCTCCTTAGTAGACTCAGAAATCACACGTGACAGCCAGAAAATCTCAGTCGTTGGCAAAGAAGCGATTTAGATATCTGGTAAAAATTCTTGTCTTCTTCTCGTTAAGAAACACTCGCAAATCATAAGACTATGCGTCTTTCGTGGATTGTTTACTTTTGTTGGTCATGACAAAAACAACCGGCAAGTTTTCTTTTAGATTAAAATGATAATTGTGTAATTCTCTGCTTGCTCTCGACGAGGACGGACACATTCCCTCCTGCTTTGCTCTTTGTCCTGTGATTCCTATCGGAGTCTCTCACTACATATCCTCTGATTTGTACATTATGGATCTGGTCAGCTGCTCTCTCAGCGCAATTGATCAAATTTTCTCTACGAGAAGACATGGCGAAGGAGAGCCCTCATGCTCTGAAAGGACACTCGCAGCCACTATGGATTCCTGGGGACAGTGAAAGATGGTGTGTCTGTCTGTATTGTCCATTGAGGATGTTGAAGACGTGTACATAATTGGATTTATGATAACAGGATTTCTGCTTTTTGGAGTCGGCGGTTACTTGTTTTATCGACAAATGCGGAAAATGCTGGCAGCCGTTCTGGCCTTGGTAAAGCTGCCCGGCTCGTATGAAGGAATGTACCGAGTGGTACGCTCTCAGACTCGGACGCTGTATGAGCTGAGCTGTAAGCTGGACGTATTCTCTGAGAATCGCAGGCCACTTGCTGCTCCTGGGACTCAATGGCGGGAAGGAATTGACCTTGGAGAAGGCTACAAGCTCGGTCCGCTGGTTTGACCACACAAGTTGGCTGTTTGGAATCACCACTGAGACGTACCAGCAGAACCGGTTTGTACGAACTGGACCTTGGAATCAGTGGTGTAGGCTACATTTTTGTACTGGGTATACTGTGCTTGGAAACCAAAGTACACAGGTTAGTACAATGTAATCGTCAATTTATTTTGATTTTTAAGAATATTGAACACTTCCAAATTTCTCTGTTGCTTATATTTGAATAAATGTGCAACAATATTTGTGCACGAGTTGGCTTTGTATTAAAAACATGTTATAGAATTTATAAAACAGTATCAATGCCAAGTGCTGCATACCAATGGTTACGGAAGCGTTTAACTGCCATTTAATGTATCAATGCCACGTGAGATGTCACGTATCACTGGGCACTTTTAAGTGGATATACTGAAATTATAAAGCTTTTCTAGTGGGTATCCTCCGTATACCCGAGTATCGCTTAGACTACACCACTGCTTGGAATGCAGAGTGACGCATAGCGCTCAAGTTAAAACAAAAATCCTAAAATGTATTAAGTAAAACAAAAAAAAACTGCTGTGGCAGCATTGCCACAAAATGCAAAATGCTCGACTGAAGAGAGAATGAAAACGGAGTTGTTGTATGGACAGCGGCTAATAAATGAAATAAAAACACCTGGCATGACAGCTGGTGACAGGTGAGAGTGGGCGGGGCAGGCACTGCACAGGTGGGGAAAGGAACACTTCAAAATAAACTTTAAACCCCAAAAAAAAATGAACACAGGAAACCAAACACACAATCATGACAGTACCCCCACCTCTAAGGGACCTCCCCTGACATTCAACTCAAAAGCACTGACTCAGGAGGAGAAAAGGGGACAAGGAAGGAAGATTGAATCAAAAAAACAAAATTTGCAGAACAGTAAACCAACAAGGCAGCGGATCGAAACAAAAAACAAACGCACAAGAGTTCAGGGGTACGGCCCTGAGCGTGTTTAAACAGAAAACGAGCTTGGGCGGGCCCCCATGGGCACATCCAGGCAGGAGCCGGGATTCAGAAGGGCAGCCTTTGGCACGTTCAGTCAGGACAGTGGTCGGGTGGACAGTCCGAGACGCGCCTTGGCAGCAGACAAGATTTGTGTGGTCGGCCGGAAAATTGTCCAAAGTAGAGACCAGACTCAGCTGGTCAGACTGGGAATCTATGAACTAGTGTTGGAACTCAAATAGTCAACCAGGGATCTTCTAGATCAGTGACAGAATTCAGATGGTGGGCGTGAAAACCACCCAGACCTGCAGGATGATTGAGGTGAAGAAACTGAAGTCCCAGTGCGTATAAACACTGGAGACCCGGGAACTAGAGCTGGGGACCCTTGAACCATTAACAGGAGACTCGGGGACCAGGGATTCAAAAGGCTTGGAAACCATTGACACAGGAACTGGAACAGAGTACTAAGGAAGAGGAACTGGACACTTTTCCATGCTAGATTTACAAATGCTTATACTGCTAAAGCTAATTCCACTACTGGTAAAGCCAGTTCTATTAATGGTAATTGTACTTTTGTTAAAACTACGACTTCTAATGGTAATTTTGTTACTGCTAACATTACTGCAATGAATCCTAAATCTACTAATTCTAATACTACTACAGCTAATTTTACTAATGCTACTGCGACTGGCAGTGGCGTTCATGGACATTTTGGGGGGGCAGGTGCTCAAGTGGAAAAAAAGGCACCTTGGAACAGCTCAGAATGCCCCCGGGAAAAGTGTTTTAAAAATCTACCCAAAACTGTGCATTTTTCAGCCAATTGAAGTGCATTTTTATGATTAATAAAACAACAGTCAGTATATTATATCTAATATTATAAATTTGATCAAAGGTAGAACACTGACAACCAGCCTTTAAGATGAACTTTATCTGGGAATATACGTGAAAATTGCATCACCATTATTTTGTTTACTTTTCACAAACTGAGCACCAGAGTTTGTTTTGACCGCGTCATTTTGCACCCAGAAAAAATATGTTGTACTCAAAAAGTAAAGATTTTATAAGTGTACATACCCTAACAAAAGAACAAGAATACCCGAGAAACTCAAGTAACTAGATTATCACTAAATAAATTATAACTATGTCCTAATGACGTTGAAGTCCTCGTATACCCCACAGTGTACACTTGCACATTTCTAGATTTTCCACACAGATTAGCTTCAAAATTAAATAAACAGCACAAAATATGACAATAATAATTTCTATTTTGTACCATAGAAACCCAAACAACAATGAATCCACTTTTTATCTTTTTTGTGCCTTGATCTTGAAGACACAAAACTTGAAACTAAGATCAGGTACTAAAATTGTAAATCAAAAACAATGTTTGTACTGTAATCCGACTACAAATCTCCCGGTTAAGAAATGAAAAAGATAAAAACAACAAGAAAAAATAAGGATCCTCTGGTTGCAAAATGTTTTTGGAGATTAGCAGCATGATGCGCGTGTTCTTTCTCTATTTTTAATGTTGTTTAGGTAAATATTCCTGTCACCTACTGATGTATCGTGGGTATTTTAGCTTTATTTTGTTATAAATCCAGGGATGGATAAAAAAAAAATCTACATTGAAAAAATATATTTGTTTTTAACATCCAAAGTTGTTTAAACTACACTTCAGTGTCTCACAAGGGATTCTTTGTGTTGAAACGATTTGTCTTTTATCCAAAGGACTTCTTCAGTCTGAGAAGCTGCAATAAACTTGGTCTTATAATTTAGCACCTTCTCATAGTGGACTCTCTCCATACGCTCCAGTCAGCCATCAGGTGGAAAGGAGGAACCCAGACCAGTGGTCATTCCGTATGTTGAGGGAGTATCAGAGAAACGGAGACGTTTATTTTCTAAACATAACGTCCCAGTGGCTTTTAAACCCCAAAATATATTAAAGACTGGTTCATCCCAAAGATCCAGTCCCCCGGCACAAACAGTATTATTATGTAAGCTGTTCAGTGTCAGGAGGGTGATCAGTCTTACATCGGGGAACTAAACAGCCACTGGCCAAAAGGATGGACCAGCACAGAAGATCAACATCATCAGGCCAGGACTCTGCAGTCTACACTCATCTCCAGGCCAGCGGTCACTCTTTCAGGGATGAAGATGTTCACATCCTGGACAGAGGAACAATGATTTGAGAGAGGAGTGAAGGAGGCCATCTTTTCGAAGAGAACCTGTCCATCATTAAACAGGGGTGGAGCCTCTGTGTCCAACTGTCCCCCTCTTACAGTGTTGTTATTTCTAGTATCACTCAGCCCTCTGTGAATAACAAGTGGCCATCAGGGCACTAATGGTCTGACATTAGGCTGATGGTCCTCCTTTTGCAAATGAAAAACTAGTTTTAGCTGTCCCACACTTTTCAGTCAGTTCATCTGGACAGTTTCTTTTTTTGTGCTGAAATGTTTCGCCTTCGATCCAGAAGGCTTCATCAGTCAAGGAAACACACAACAAAACCGATTCTTCCTCCAACAGCTTACTCCAAAGTGGAACAAACCAGTTCTGCTTGTGATAAGATGGTCTCTTTGGTACGCCCCCTCCTCCATTGCCGGCCCTCTTCCTTGTTGACAGTCTTGTCAAACTGGTTGAAAACAACAAAGTCCATGCTCAATAATCCAGGTATACAATCCAACATTTTTCAGTCAGGTCATCTGGACAGTTTCTTTTTTTTGTGCTGAAACGTTTCGCCTTCAACTGAAAAATGTTGGATTGTATACCTGGATTATTGAGCATGGATTTTGTTAGTTTTAGCTGTCATCAGCAAACTGGTTGATCCACTATGAGAAGGTGCTATTTATAAGATTGAGTTCAGTGCAGCTCCTCAGTCTGAAGAAGTCTTTTGGATGGAAGACGAAACGTTTCAACAAGAAGGATCAATCCAGAGGACCTGACTTAACCTTGTTAGATTCATCTACCTGGATTATTGAACATCAGGACACACTTCAGTGTACAATATTCATTTCAAAATAAACATTGAATGTTGTTCTGACTAATTTCACACTGAAGCTACAGAGAAGTCACTTCACATTCTGTCTAATGGAATGAATTCTCGTCTGGCTTACAGTCGCCCAGGTTCATCTTGAGAACGCCTTTGCTGTGCAGCTGCAACAACAGTTTGAACTCGGCTGGCATGGCGTGGAACGACGTAACTTTCTGATTATCATAGTAGTGGTTAGTTATGTCTTTGAAATCATACGGGTGAACATCGAAGGGCCAGAATCCATACAGATGCACATTTTCACAGAGTTCCAGCGCCAGGCTGACCATCGTAATGCCAGTGCTTAGTCTTGCTGCCCTCAGGCCTTGAGACCTCCAGAAGAGGCTGACGTTGTGGAGATAGTCTGGATTGAAGAAGACAGGCTGGACGGGTCCTCCAAAGTCCTCGATGGTGTAGAGAACCCGGAGGCACACGGCAGTGTTCATGCCAAAGGAGAACGATGGAAGAAAAAGCAAAGAGTTGCCATAGTCACGCAGTTTCTTCATTAGCGGAAGTCGACGTCCTGTCAGAGCCCCATACCTACAGATAACAATGGAATTTTAGAAAAACTAATCAAAATTTACTCAAAGTGATCAAACCCAGCAATATTTAAATACGTGCACACTTTTGTAAAAAGATGGTTGGGTTTGCTGTCACGATGTTTGTCTTGACGCCAACATCTTTCTCGTATCCGTTGGACAACGGAGGTAGGTTGCACCTGAACAAACGACAAAGTGGCAAATACTGTTACGTGCAACTTCCACGAAATAAGTTTGATCATAGTAGCAACTCTCTCACCTGATAAACTGATCATTGTGGCAACTCTCTCACCTGATAAACTGATCATTGTAGCAACTCTCTCACCTGATAAACTGATCATTGTAGCAACTCTCTCACCTGATAAACTGATCATTGTGGCAACTCTCTCACCTGATAAACTGATCATTGTGGCAACTCTCTCACCTGATAACAAACTGATCATTGTAGCAACTCTCTCACCTGATAACAAACTGATCATTGTAGCAACTCTCTCACCTGATAAACTGATCATTGTAGCAACTCTCTCACCTGATAAACTGATCATTGTAGCAACTCTCTCACCTGATAACAAACTGATCATTGTGGCAACTCTCTCACCTGATAACAAACTGATCATTGTGGCAACTTTCTCACCTGATAACAAACTGAGCAGAGTCTATCGCGTTTCCACAGCTGCTGTTTGCCAGGATCCCACCATTTCCAACAACGGCGCATGTGTGCCATTTTTTATTAGAGAAAGGATTTTCCTGCAATTATTAAGTACACAAATAAACAACAACATTAAGATAAATAGGACATAAACGAGCGGCTTGTTGGCTTGTGCTGAGAAAAATAAATGTAAATCTGTCGGTTTTACGTATTTGTAGAAGCAGCGTGGAGAATAAACGCTGGTGTTGTTGCCAACAATTAGTCCTTGTAGTCACTGGCAGTGTTTCTCATTTTATGGTTTTACCCTCTGAGCTGTTTACTGATTATATCGATTTGTATTCTAATGCTTTGTTCTATTTTGATTGCTTTGATTATTAATGTTGCATAAAGCAAACGCATAAAAAAAGATCATTCTGATCTTAAAAATGAAACAAATGACTGCTTACTTTTGGAAAGTTGTTGAACATCTCTTCTTTCACCGTGAGGGTCCTCTTCCTCTCCCCATCATAAACAATCGTCGATCCCAGCGGAGTGTTCGTCTGGGTGATGATGGCTTTTTGAAAACCGTTGCACTTGCTGCTCAGCTGAAAACTGGACAACCACAAGAACTTTGCTGACACTGACAGTTAGAGGCTGAACGCAAAGATTAGCTTTGTAAAACAAAATATACCTGCAGGACAATCATCTGTAGCTTCTTATATAACAAAGAACAGCCAGTTGGTTCATTCTTTACTCACTTGCTCCTCTCTACCTGTCTGTATTTGTAATTATTTATATCCTTAACATGTTGTTTTTTGTCTTTCTTCCAGTAAAACGTAGACCTGGACCTGGCACTCTGTTCGGTTCTCCTTCCTGCTCTCTGAAACCCCAGCCGGTTGAAGCAGATGGCCGCTCATCCTGAGCCTGGTTCTGTTGGGGGGTTTCTTCGTGTTAAAGGGGAGTTTTTTCTTTCCACTGTTGCCTTTGTGCTTGCTCAGGATGGGAGACTGTGACAAAGTGAAGATTCAACGCATCTGCTGGCTTCCTTAGATAGATCATTTTTACTAATTGGCTTTTATAATGTTTGAATGTTTTTGTACAGTGCCCTGAGTTGACTTCTGTTGGGACTTGGCACTATGTACTAAAGATTCAGTTTACAAGCTCAAAAAGAACTTGTTTGGCCAGTTTTCAGTTTATTGTTGATTGTCAGGCTCTGACATTGTTATAAAAACTTTATTTTTATTTTTTTTGTTGTCAGTTACTGGTTGTGGATATTTTTTTTGTTTGTTTTGTTTTTAACTTAATTTGTTCCTAATATTGCTTTTGACCTTGTTTCGTAACGATGCCCTGGTTTGTATCTGGTATTCTTGCTTACTCCTTTCTTTACCTGGAAGCTCTTTCATCAAACCGTAATGCCTCCTGTGTTCGTTGTGTTTTCCTGTGAGATCCAGTCTTGTAAGTTTTCTGCTGGCACGCCAACTTGTTTATTGTCATTATTAAAAGTATCTTGATTTGACAACCTGGCCTCAGAGTCCTGCCTGCACCATTGTATTCTTTCCTGTCCTGCCTGAAACTTCTGACAATTTTAGCAATCATCTTTTGTGGTTAGTCTTTTAATTATATGCACATCTGCTCTGAGTCATCAGCAATGTTTCCTCAGATGAATCTGTTTGCTGTTTAATCCTGCAACCAGGCACTCGCACACTGCTGTCATTAGTTCATCACAATATTGAGCCGCAGCATCACAGCCTACTTCTCACGTCTGCCGTTTTGCCTCTGCTACTACCTCACTCGGCGGCACAGAGGAGCACCAGAGTCAGGTTGACTTCAACTCCCCTCCCCACCTCAGTCCATTCACAGAGGCAGCCAGAAGACGTCTCAGTCCTGAACTGTGTCTTTGAAAGAGCCTTAAGTTTTCTTTGTTCACTGCCTGGTCAGCCTAGTCCTCCTTTTGGTTTAGTCCTGTTTGGCTTTGTTCATTCAGGAGTACACCGCTCTCCACCATTCCCACTTAGGAGGTCCAGGAGGACGCAGTGTCCAACTCTGAGGGGGGTCAGGCAGATCCCAGGAGCTATCTCCAAGGTGATCCAGGGTACCACCTTTCCACTGATCTCAGTACCTGATTACAACGGGGGGACTTGAGTAGGACCGAGTTGAGCCCATGGAAAAAAGGTGATGACGGGGTCTATGGGGACCCTTCTCTGTCCACCCCAGAAAGACTTTAAAGGGGTGCAGCATGAAGAAGACCCTCTTTTTCACACCGACCTCAAACATAAAATCATATTTTATTTTCTGTTTCTCTTTATTGTTCCAGAACAGTCTTTCAGGGAACACAGGGACACCCCAGTACAGGGGTACACGTCTCCTTTATATGCAGTAAACCCAATAATTAATACACTCCCTGTATTAAACTAATTTAGATTTATGAACTTTTAATGTTTCATTTTTAAAGGACGATTTGTACAGAACTAGAGAAACTATTCAAGAAAAAAATAATCAAAGAAAATAAATGTTTAGTGGACGTCCTTACCTAAAGTTTTGGTAGGTGTCCTCCTGTTTCTGCCAGGCTTGAGAGTAAAGCTCTAAAGCTTGCTTTATGTTCTCCCTGTGACACAGAAACACACTTATATGCTGTAAAAGGTGAAATCTCAACTTGGCGCTGGCTTGATTAAAGTTTGCAGTGAACAATGTTACGAAAAGAAAAGCAGCTTAAGTTTGTTCTCACCCGCAGCTTTTACAAGATTTAACAGACCGAGGAACGCTTTTCATTTTCGGCTGCAGTCTGTAATGTTCCACATACCTGTGAGAACGAGAAAGTCAGCAGAAAAGATCAGCAAAATAAAAGAAATGTCAACAAATTGGGAAGCATCTCCTCTGCTGGTTCTTTTTACGTGGCCTGAGAAGACGGTCGTAAATCACAGAATTATTTTGAGCCTGCATGTTTTTTATTCATAATGCTACACGCGGACCCTGGACCAGTTCAGCTGCGTGCGCTCCTACTCAGTCGTCTTTATGTGTATTTGAATTGTACCAAGACTTTTGAGTTTTTCAAACTAATTTGAGCATGTAACAATAAAAAGTTGTCCGAGTCCAAGTTGGTTCTTTTTTTAATTTATTATAATCTTTCTCCAATCTTTACAGTCAGATCCTGCTTCTTTCAGCTGAGATAATTGTCTAAAATGAAGTCCATCCTGTTATAAAAACACGCGTTATTGTCTCAGTAGTTGTTTTTATAACGCCTCGGCTCCACGTCTGCTTCTGTTGCTCGTTTGCAAGTGGCTCAAAATGCTGCCGCTCCGTTTTCAACTGGTTCAGCCAAAAGAAATCACACTTGCCCACTTTAAGTTGCTCTTGTATTGTAATAATTTGTGTATTTTAAAAAAAAAAAAACAGCTTGGGCAAATAACTGGTTTAATACATTATATTAATTTGACTCTTAAATAACTTGACAATGATGCAAAAATGGTGAAGAATTCAAAATACGGGGTTGGACTAAGCCCCCAGTACACATCTGGCTTCTTCTATCACAGGACCCGAGGAAATTTAGGAAACGCTCGGAGCTGTCCTCACATCTTTGGTTAGTAACACGTTTAACGAGCTTTTGGATGTGATGCGCTTAAGAAAACATGAGTATGAGGAAATAGATGCCCCAAATAGATTGTAAAACAAAGAATGGAAATCAAATTTCCTGGTTTGTTTTGCTCCTTTTGGCATCGCATTAAAAACTGTATGAAAGATCTCAAACAATAAATGTAAAATTAAAAAAAAAAATCATCTGCCCGATTATCTTCCAGCACGTTTTTCACTCCAACAGCGTAACAGAAACTAAATGTTGTGCGATAAATGTAGAAATATTCAGCCGGCTGCCCAATGTGAGCCCCACGAAAGTCGTCACCTGGATCCCCAGAAAGAGGAGATGAATCGTAAAAGAGCGTCGTTCTTTGCTCCTTGTTCACCTGATGGTCTGTTTGTTTTTCACTCTCTTACAACTTCACTCCTTCATCACACGTTCGTTGTTTGTCAAACCTATTTCATATCTTTATTCCTACACACACACACGGTTATGGACAGACAACCCCAAAATCCCCCGACTCAGCTTCCTCCATGGAAGACGTGCTGGTGGGATTGAGAAGGTCCGTATTCCTTCCACCTCCCGACGACATCACTGGTTGAGGTCAACAGCACCCCACCTTTGTACTACAAAGAAAAGCTCCATGTCCACTGAGGTTCACCGCTGCACAACAACAGAAGACCAATTTAACAATGAATCAAACGCCCTCACTCTTTTGTACCTTTTAGATATTAGCAGGTTCCCAACTCTGGTCCTCGAGGAACCCTGTCCTTCATGATTTACTGATTTGCTGCTCCAACACACCTGAGTCAGTGATTTCATTACTTCATCAAGCTCTGCAGAAGTTTATTAATCAACCATTCGTTCAAATCGGATGTGTCAAAGCAGGGAAACAACTAAAGCACGCAGGATGGTGTTCCTCGAGAGCCAGTGTTGGGAACCGCTGGAATGTGTTATCAAAGATAAATGCAGAGAAAAACATTTAGTTGTTTTCAGCCGCTCCCTTCAGCAGGGGTCACCACAAAGAGCGAAGTCGCACGACATTTACATCAGATGATCTTCCTGGACTCGAACCCACAGCCTCAGGAACACAAGACCAACGCGTGACCGCTGAGCTACAGCAACCTCCACGGCACGGATGTTTAAATTACAAAACTCAAACTGTGTAAAAGAGTTGAGATGAGGTGGAAAATTCGTCAGTTTGATTTTGTATCTTCCGAGACAAAAGCGTTGTCAATCAACTCGAGCAGCATATAAAACAAAGACAAGCTTTTTGTTTTTGTATAATAAATGTAGAAACAACTTACTGATCGTCCAACGTGAACCACGTGAGGGTCGTCAGCAGGATCCCCAGAAAGAGGAGGTGAATCATCAGCGTGAGCAGCTGAGCCCTCATTCTTTGCTCCTTCTTCACCGGTTAGTCCTCGGTTAGTTTCAGTCTCACTGTTTTACAAAACCCCCGCCTCCTCCTGGCATCGCTGTCTGAACAAGAATGTGCTGCTCCTTCACAATCAAAGCAAAAGAATCACATTATAATACCAGGGTGATGATTGTGCCAATGTAGATGAACCCTCTTTAAAACAAGTGTTCGTGTTGGTCTCCCTCTTCTGCTGTTTGTCCGTTGCTTGTTTACCCCCACGTCGTTAACTGTGTGTGTTTGACCGCACCAATGTTTGCATAAAAAAAGAGGATGTATGCACATCATTAAATGATGTCATCACTGACAGCGTAAGCGTGTCGGAAAGCTTCTTCAGACTCACGAGAAACTCGGCGATCGCACTATAGCAATCCTGTTTCTCTATTAAAAAAATGTTTCCAATTAAGATTTTTCTATATTTTTGTTTCACTCTAAGTATTTATGCATGCTCAGTGTTGTTTTGATCATCCACATGTCAAAATCTTTAGCTCAATAATTACTGAAGCTCTGCAAAGGATGCATGTTTCTCAGACTAAGGCCTTTTATTGATGGAGAACCTGATGATTTTTCATTTAGTTGTGGGAGGACAGACCAAACGATGAAAGTCCCTCATCCCAGGTGCAGCAGCTCTTTCCCATTTATTGACTCAGACACTTGATCAGGCCAGGAATGAAAAGGTTGTTTGTGTATGCGGGAACTCATAATAAGATAACCTTTAAAAGTCATTCAATTCAGCTACATACCGGGGAAATAAATCAGGGATTCCCAACCTTGGTCGTTGAGGAACACCATCCTGCTTGTTTTACTTGTTTCTCTGCTCCGACGCACCTGATTTTAATACATTTTACAGGCTTCTGCAGAACGAGGAAGAAATTAAATCACTGAATCAGGTGTGTCAGAGCAGGGAAACAACTAAAGTACGCAAGATGGTGTTCCTCAAGGACCAAGGTTGGGAACCACTGACCTCTGGGGTCATTCCCGTCCTTGATTGACACCTGTCAAATCTGAGTTTGACAAAAGGTGTTGTGTTAACCTTGTGTTTGCTTCCCAGTTTGTTTAAACCAAATCATTTTGCATTGCTTCTCGTTCAGATTTATCTCCTGTTCAGGTTTTATGATCCACCATGCAGCTAAAGGCTTATCGTTTTCACATCCATGATTGCTTCAACTACTTTGCTTTAAATTACCAAGTTCCATATCAAACCTTTATTGTGCAACTCCACTAATGTAAACTTGTCAGCTCTGCTGAAGTGTGAATATATGTTAAAAGTGTCATCGCTGACTTGTTTCCTGGAAGTCCGAACTCAGGTGTCTGCAGGGCCCCATTTTAACAAGAACGTGTTTTGACTTGTTGAGTATGCCGTAATTAAACCTGTACATTTTTCAGTCTTTGTCCTTGAATAGCTGTATACATCCATACAACTGCATGACCTTACTTGATGTCTAACTGGTTGTATCACTTACTGGGAACCCAATTAAAGTTCGTTTTAATCCTGTAAGCAAATCAACTGGCAGCAGTCCAGCTGACAGGTACATCTTTTGTTTTATGAAGTGAAATAACTGCAGAAGAAACACTCGGTAGTCCCTCGTTTATCGCGCGGGGATCAGTACCCTGAAGCCCTGCGGTAAGTGAAAAACCACTAAGCAGGTATAGTAGTACAAGAAGTAGTTTTTATATATATATATATATATATATATATGGTGTTTTAAACCCTTCCCATACCTTGCAATATTCTAAACAATGTTTCTAAACGCTCTAAAAGACAGAATGTCATGATTTCAGCTCCATGCCTCGGCTGCTCTTTGCCACCTGCAAGTGCTCTTGGCCACGCCCACTTCTCTGCACAGAGAACAGCTGATCAGCTGCAGGAGGAAACTTTTTCTGCAGCTCTGGGCAGCAAAAATATGCAGCAGGTGCTAAATAATTTATTTTAAATAAAACTCCCATGCCGCTCATCCATCAAACAGCCAATTTTGTCATGTTCAATCTTGTTTTGAAAAACCGCGATAGAGCGAGTCCTCGATAAACGAACCACAAAGTAGTTTCTACAACAAACAGATGTGCTCTCTGAAGCTTTATGTGGTTCTAATAATCAAGAACAATTTTAAAATGCACACCAAGCAAAAGGATGGGACTCAAAAACGTTTAAATTTTTTTCAGGGTGGTCATTGCCCCCTTGGTCTACCCCTTACTGGTGCCCCTGCAGTCAATTTCAAAATTTAAATGTTTTAAATGATGACGTAAGCAAGTAATCTTTATTTCTATAGCACCTTTCACAGACAAAACATCACAAAGTGCTTCACAAGCGAAACAAAATGTAACTAAAGCCCGTCTGAATAAATAAGTCTGAAGATGTTCTTTAAAAGAATAACTGGAATCTGAGCGGCGCGGTGACAGAGGGAGTGTTCCAAAGCCTCGGGGCCACTTGGAATGCTCCGTCTCCACGTTTTAAAGTAAGTTCTTGGTACCATCAGCAATTTTTTTTTTTTTTCCATTCAACCTTTATTTAGACAGGTAATCCCATTGAGCCTCGAGGACTCATTTACAAGAGAGACCTGATTTGAAGATCTCAAAGTCCTGGTGGGACAGAGAGGCTTTAAAAGGTCTGATAAAGACTTGGGAGCCTGACCATGAAGTGGACCAAAATTTTAAAAGGACTCCTGAAATGCACGGGGAGCCAATGCAGAGAGGCCAGAACAGGAGTCACGTGGGCTGTGGGTTCTAGTTAGCAGCAGCATTCTGCACAGGCTGAAGGCGAGCTAGGGAAGATCTATTCAGACCCATTAAAAGGCTGTAATCTAAACGAGAGGAGATAAAAGCATGCACAATCATCTCGTTCCTTCTGTGATACCATACATCGTAGTTTTGAAATGTTTCTTAGACAGTAAAAACAATTTTGAACTAACAATTTACAACGACTGTCCAAAGATAAAGAACTATCAAAGACGACACCCAAGATTATTAATTACCGAAGGATTTAAAAAGATACTGGCCGATAACTGGAAATTTTATCATCAGGGGCAATAATAAGTGTTTGTTTGCATTTAACTGCAGGTAGTTGTCGTTCAGTCAATTTATGGAACTTACCAAATCACTATGGCGTAAAATTATGATCAAAAAACAAGTTTTGCTTCTGGTTTGTTAATCTGAACTCTGTACGAACGGCACAAAACTAATTTCAGACCAACAGTTCCCACCTTTGTTCATTGTTGGGAGCAGCCATGTTGGACTTTAGGAATCAGGGTTTGTGAGCCTCATTACAATGAGTTGTTTTTTTATTTTTGCAAAGGATTTAAACACATTAAAGTAAAAAAAACCTCTTCCAACAAAGACTTTACAGCATTGTGCAGCTCATCTTTACAAAACCCCTCCCAACTCAAGCCACCCCCAAATTCTAAAACGTCACGAACGATTCACAACCACTTCTCCGTCACGTGTCTGGCTCTGCAGACGGGCGACGCTGCTGAGCCTTCCACACGCGACAACTCGGCACGTCTCGGACCAAAACCAGACGAACGTCAGGACGAGCTGCACGAACCTGTGAACGTGCACAGTAAACGCACGTGGAGACGAAACATCCGTCACCAGCTCAGGAAGCAAAGTTAAACACTTCATTCTGTAATATAAATTAAATTGTTTTAGCCAGAAAACACGGCTCTAATCTTACAGAATAAAGGGAAGCTTTGCAAAAGTTAAAAATATAATACTTTGAAAAGTCCTATAAATCCAAATACATATATGTGTACAGTACTGTATATACTGTACACGTATATATAAAAATAAGTTATTTTTCAAGATGGCATATTAAAATATCCCTGAACCACTAAAACAAAAACATTTAGTCTTAATATTTTAACCCAGTCCATTTTCAGTAAACTTGTGAACCCATCTTAAAAAAATTAAAAAGTAAAACAGGAGTCCTTTGGTGTCTTTATGTACACTTTTATTGTCAGCACTTGACAGGCAGAAGAAAAAAGAACCCGTTTACTTCTTGGTCTCCTCCTCCTTGGACAGGTTCTTGATGATCTCCTCCTTCTTGGCCTGGAGACGCTCCTCTCTGCGCTTGCGGGCCTCCTTCGTCTTGGAACGACGAGCTTCAGCCTGATCACTGCAAAGGAGGAAGGAGAGAATGAGGAAACGGCACGCAAGCGTCGAAATACAAACACGTTTAAGATATCTGTTCTCAGCAGATCCAACTGGAGATCCAGAGTCTCCACCGTTCAACCTCCAGAGACGACACTTACGCCAGGAGCTTCTTGCGGGCCTTGTCTGCCTTCAGCTTGTGGATGTGCTCCATCAGGATGCGTTTGTTCTTGAACACGTTACCCTTGGCCCTCAGGTAGAGGCTGTGGTACCTGAAGGTGTCGCAGCGGAAATAAACTCGTAAATCGACGTCACACAGAGCGTTTGCAATTTAAAAGAAGCAAATCTTTAAAACGTGGGATTCTGAACCGACTCGGCATCGAGAGCTGGAAAATGCTGGTTTTGTGCGAGACAATTTGACGCGTTTAAATAAAGCATGTCTGAGTTGACTCTGATGCACCTACATGTGCTTGTCAATCTTCTTGGCCTCCCTGTAGCGGCGCAGCAGACGGCGCAGGATCCTCATGCGGCGCATCCAGCACAACTTCTCGGGCATACGGGCGTTGGCTGTACCCTTCCTCTTACCTGAAAACAAGACAAAATGGCCGTTCAGCCCAGTTTGTCTTTCACCGACACCCCCATCAAAAACGTGGGTTTAAACATACCAGTTCCCGTGTGTCTTCCCTTGCGACGAGCCAGTGTGTTCTTGCGGCACCGAGCCCTGGAGTGGACCGTAACCGGTTTGCGAATGATGAGACCATCCTTCACCAGTTTACGGATCTGCTGACCTGAAGGCAAACGTGAAAAGGCAAACTGAAAGACTGAAGCTCAGTTGAACAAATGACGTCTGCACAAAACCAAGAAAGTAAATGAAAAACAGAGAAGTTCATTCAGCTGCAAAGTTCAGATTTATTTCAAAACGTGAAAAATAAACTCGCATTTTCTAAAACCAAATCTGATTAGTCGCCACTGGTGGAAGTCACGTTCTGCAGTGTGACTTCAGTGTTCGTTTACAGCAAAGACTTTAAAACTTATTCCAGCTCCTTAAGTTCTGCCTTTAAGCAATGTTTATAAATTATAAATGGTGGGGGGGACGGCTCAGTGTGATGGAGACAGTGCTACCTCTGTAGCTTTTTAGCTAGCGCGTCTGCATTGCACGCCGCTAGCTTAACGCTACAGCAGTGCCATCAGTTGTCGACCGTGGGGAGGACGGTTGGGTAGGCAGGGGGCTCGGTTGACGGGGTGGGGCGCCCTCCTTGGATAACGGTTGGGGAAACACTGTGTTAACAGTCTGCCTATAGGAGGTGCAAATATTAGAAACACTGACAATAATCGGCTTCACTTCAGTGACAAAAACTTTTGATAAATGGTGAATGAACTGTATTTGTCCATCGAAGCGTTTTACAACACAATCTGTGCCCTCAATCACCTAAACTCTACTACTGAGTAAACCAGTCTATAAAGTTTAATCTCAGTTAGATCACATTGATGAGGCAACGAGGGCTTCGGTGTGTTGTACGGGACGTTTCGTTATGTGCCTGCATACCGGTGGAGTTGAACCGCCAACTCTTTTGTTGGTAGATGACTTCAACAAGCGACACAAGTCACAAATTACTTTGATAAAAACACGAGTGATTCAAGTACATTCCAGTACAAGTATTAGGTATGGAACGATCCCAGATCGCTGGGACAGGTGAGTTTAAACGTTTGGCTCAGATTACAGCGAGCAAGTCACACGACAGATTTACAGGATTTAGGATTAAGATTTAGTATACGTTTTTCTACATTCTGAGCAACTTTCCTGACCCACAAGTGGTTTTAGAAACTTCACAATCTGGATGATCTGATTAAAAAATGTATATTTTTTTTTACAGCAATATGAACAAAGTTGGTTGTTATTCCATTAAATAATTTTGGTAACTTCTATTGTCTGTTACAGAACAAAACTTTTATTTCATGACATTTGTCTTCTGGACCTCCGGAGAAGTAATCATGCTTCAAAATTTGAAATTATAAAATTTAAGAGATCCACTTTTTGAGATTATGCGTCACACAAGGCCCAGACCCGTTACATCTCAGCCTGATCGTGTTTAAAGTTTACTTTTCAAAACATGACATGAAACAACAATCATCCAATACCATGTGAAACTAACCAAGTCCTCTGAATTTACGGAGAGGACTAATAAATGGTCTTCTTACGGGAGTTGGCGTTAGCGATCTCATTAGTCTCGTTGGGGTCCAGCCAGACCTTCTTCTTCCCGCAGCGCAGGACGCTGGAGGCCAGCCTCTTCTGGAGCCTGAGCATGCTGCGGGACACAACAATAAACACATACTCAGAGCTGCAAATCAAAGTATTAACTCCTGCCTTCGTAGCTACACAGGTGGCGTGTTTTATAACCACCTAAAAAAATCGCTGCAGTGTCGACTAATAACCAACTAGCCGCGATGCTAACATTAAGCTATCCACCGGTTGGTTGCTAACATGGCCGCTTCGACTGCTAGACCGTGTACAAAAAATTTACTTCATGTGTGACATTAGGGCGTCGAGAAGACGTTTATATTGTAAATACTCATAAAAAGGGATCTTACGTGTTTTCATACGCAATAAAAAAGTAGTTATGTGTGCATTTAAACTATTAAATGGCGATTTTTAGTGAAGCATCGATAAAACACCATACCTCGTGCCTGCTACTTCAATAGGAAAAGGACGGCTTCACGGACCGTCCGGAAGCTACCATTTGTTACAGGAGAGTCCATGTAAAAAGCATGAACTAAACTCCGCAATGACACATTTTAAATTAAAATATTCGTGCTTTATTATTTAAGCGCGAAAAATAATTAATACTAAAATATAAAACGAGTAAAATTTTAACTGAAAGGAGGCAACTTTTAGAATGCTCTTTAATAATCAATCCGTTCTCACCCATTTTAAGAAATAATGGTACTAACCGTAAATTCGCAAAGAACTGTGGGAGAAATTTATGATGACGTATTCTGCACTTTCAACAGCAGGGGGCAGTGTTGACCTCAGAAACTGTGCAGAAATTACTAGAGTTTTTATTTTACTTTTAAATTATATATTTGCCATAAAGTCAAGAGGTTCAATTCTAAAAAATGTTCTGTGGAATTTAAACTCAGAGGCTTAACAAGCAATTTAAACTAAAACTAAATCGTCTCAAAGAATAACCTACGAAGTTTGGTAATTTTATTGCAGACAACTGAACTAAATAAAATAGTCAAAAAAAAAAATTTAAACCAAAAGTCAAAAGAGTGTAATAATATAATATTTAATAAAATATAAATTATAGTCCAGCTTCATTTATTTAAATATGTACTCACTGAATATAATTGTTTATAAAATACTTTTAAAATATGTATTTTATGTGATTCTACTATGCTCAATTATTTACAGTAAAATATATGATGCTGTCTGAAAGGAAGGGTGGTGTAAAACAGAAGAAATGTGTAAATTAATGAAGTAGCACAAAACAGTAAATTTTTCTCACAGTCTGGATCAATAGGTCAAAGACAGCAAGTCACAATAAAACATGACAGTGTCAGAAATGTGCATCTTTAAAAGAGTCACAAATGGAAAAAAACTGAACAACTACTCAGAACATTTTAAAGAAAGTTTAAAAAAAGTGCAGTTTCATATCTTAAAGTGGCCTCTTTTTTTGGGGGGGGGGGGGGGGGGATAGAAATGAAAACAGTGTGTTGGTGTGGTGGGTGGATACTTATAAAAAATAACCAACCAGTAAACGACCATTTGACCAGCTGCTAATTATGGACGCTCATCTCTACAGAGCAGCATCCGATCACCATGGCAACACTGCACTCTTACAGTGTGGGTGCATGAGGACCTCTTGTGTGACTTCTTCACCTCATGCAATCCAGAATCGAATCATCCTCGCTGCACAAAACATTCAGCAAAAACATCTCCTCCAGGCTGAATCAAGCACAGAATACTGGAAATAAATATATATATATATATATGTTTTTCTGCTGGAGAGTTTAAACCTTCTAAAACTTGATGCAGTTGTCAAACATTTCACTAGATTGTATTTTTTTTGTGTGTGTGTCAAAAAGGCATCGATATTTACAAATTTATACAAATACAATATTTATTTATTGAGTCCTTTACTAGAACCAAACAGTGATCAAAATGCTTCCCAGTACAGTTAAAAGGTCCAGGCCAGCGCAGTTGGTTTCACAGTCTGGGTGCAGCAGAAAACGCACAATATTTGTATTTGGACCTTGGGACTTATCGTAAAGATGACTTTAAGGTCCTTGTGGAAAGCTATAGATCAGCTAAATAAGGTAGGGTGAGTCCATTAAGAGCTTTAAAAGTAAACAATAAGAGCAAATGGAGAGAGAATCAAACAGGTGGTGTTCTTGGGAGTGTTAGCTAAAAGATGGGCCACATAATTTTGGATGAGACGATGGCTGAGGGAGGATTGGGAGATTCCAACATAAAGACAGTTACAGTATCCAAGCCTTGAGCTAAAAAAATATTTAAAAAAATGCATGAATGGCCTTTTTCAGGTCAGGATGATTTAAAATATGTTAGACCTCGACTAAAAGATTTAATTGAAAAAAATCATGCTTGACTATAGAGGCTATTTGTTTATCAAACTTCAAAATCCTTGTCAAAGGTTTAAAGTCTGTGGGATCTAAACCTGGGTGTCTGAGCAGCAAAGTTAAAAGGAGCTCATCACCAAAAAATGATACACTTTATATCTTTTTTTTCATTTAAAAACAAGAAACTTGTGTTAAGCCTCTGTTTAATGTTGGCACAATCAAGAAAAGAAGCTTGAAGATTATTGCTTCTAGCCTTCATAAGCAAATAAATCTGTAAGTCGTCTGCATAACAGTGAAAAGAACAGTGGTATCTAGTTATAACTGATCTAAATGGCAGCACATAAAGAGAAGAGTAGAGGACCGAGAATAGAGCCCTGTGGCACGCCACAAGAAAGAGAAGCGATAAAGGACGACGAGTTAGCAATCATAAAAGTTCTGCTGGTTAAGAAGGAGGTGAACCAGATATACAAGATGAGACAGAAGAACGGCAAAAACAAAACATAAACAGGAAATACATCAAGATCCTCTTTAGTATGAAATGACAGAGTTGTAGCCATTTTGGTAAAAACTTGAAACTGGTATGTGCAGCATTGAAAGATGTCACACTCAAGAGAGTATGAGAATAACTCTCAGCTACTACCACATCAAATTTCAGCTCAGCATCTGGAAAACTGACTCAATTATAGCTATTGTTGTGTTTTCTAATGTCAGTTGGTTGTGGTGGCCATTTTTAAATGTTTTGACTTCAAAATTTTGTTAGTCACAGACGTAAATCTAGAGGTAATTTTTTGTACGTTTCTTTAAAATCCTTCCAGTGGTTCACAAGATATTTTGCTAACAGACAGACATAGCTGACTCCAAATAAATAATGGCAACATTTTTAAACAAATATCTTGCACTACCTGTCAGTGCTCAGAACTTACCTTTGAGATCAACCTCAGCAACTACTATCTCAAATTTTAGGTCAATATATATAAGTTTGGCTGAGTTTGAGCTATTTGTATATTTTTGAAAAACAGTTGGCTGTGGTGGCCATTTTGAACATGATTTCCTCCAGAGGTTAATCAGCAAGAAATTAACAGCTAATGGTTAATTTCAGTCAATTTCATTATAATTACTTCAGTAATTCTTGAGATATTTTGCTAACAGACAGACGTGAACACACACACCAGTGCAAAAACAGTATCACCGACCTTTTGCTTTTCTGACTGACGTGTTATTTTAAATATTTTAATCCCACCAGTAATAAAATTAATTGTAACGATCAGGTGCACAGGCGTTATAAAGCTTGTGGGAGAAGAAATGGGCCGTCGGGTTCTGATGAAGCGCTGACTCGTTTGAAAGCCCACGGTGATTCTGTCCGAGCAGCTTTAAAGAAGATCATTAGATGTGGAAGGTGTCGTTATGAACTGAAGATGTCCACGTCTGACTCAGGCCGCTCCGTCACCTCAGGCTGCGGTGGAGGGATGGAAGTGACCCTGAGGGCAACGTGGACGTCTACGCTGCTGCTTCAGAAGACTCCTGGAGACACGGCCTCCGTCAAACACACCGTGGTGGTGACTGCTGCCTCTGAGAAGAGGCGAAACATCTGAGCACTTCCTCCCACTGGTTCACAGGAAGTCTGGTCATCCTGTGGGTGTTCAGTCCGAACCATCCGCTCTGATGTCGTCATCTAAGAACAGGAGTGGGGGGCGTTTTCTTGGTAAATCGGCTCGTCGCCTGATCAATATTGTCTTATCGGTGTGGTCAGCGTTTATTATCGTCTGTCACTGAAGGCAAAAAGGAAATAATGTTTTCGCTCGTGTCGTTACAACAAAAGATCCCATGAAAGAAGAACAGTTTCCATGAAACTCTCAGAAAGTCGTCATCGGTCCCGCATCAAAACCGACCAGCGTTTGGAGTCAGCTCCATCCAAGATGGCCGCCGCGACCAATCCGCCTCAGCGAACACAAAAAGCGCTAACAGGTTTACAAGGTTTGGCTAAAACAGCTACAAGTCTCAGCTGAAGACGAGCTTAACCTAAAAATTTCAAACATGCATCCAGCAGCCGCCATTTGGCAGTCAATCGATTTTTGGCACAACACCGGTCCATGTTTCCGGGTTTTCAGCGGTGACGCATAATAGATGCGATTTATACGGCGAAGTGACGCATTTATGTTTTTTTCCCACTTTACTAAACATTTTTAGACTGATGTGACTTATTCGGCGGTGTGATGTGTACGGCGGCAAGTACGGTAATTACTTTGTTTTTAGTTGACAACTAAATCTACGCGAGTTAAAAAGAAAACCTGGAGAGAGGATCTGCGCAGGACCGGACTCGGGATCAGAACACTGATGCTGGAAACGATGAACTCCTCCTGAGCGTCACTGGCTCCTTCAATAGACATGATTATTTTAGTAAAAACGTTACGCTCTGCGTTTCAACGTTATCTTTTACAGCTTATCTGGAGTCGGGTCGTGGAGGCGACGGGTCCAGGACAGAAACCAAGACCTCCCTCTCTCCTCAGCGACGCTCTCCTGCTCCTCCCGGGTCCGAAGGCGTTCCCAGGCCAGAGAGGATCCCTCCAGAGAGTTCTGGGTCTGCCCCGGAGCCTCCAGGAGGACGTGCCAGGAGAACATCAAAGTGAGGGCATCCTGATCAAATGAACCACCTCAACAGACTCCTTTTGATGCGAAGGAACAGCAGCTCTACTCCGAGCTCCACCGGATGACAGAGCTCCTCCACCCGAACGCTCGTTTCAGCCGCTTCTATCCAGGATCTTTTTCTTTTCAGTCACGATCCAAACCTCATGACCACAGGTGAGAACTGGGACAAAAACAGTAAATCCAGAGCTTGGCCTTCTGACTCAGATCTTTCTTCACCACAAACAACCAAAGCAACACCCTCATTACTGAGGACAAGGATCCATCTCCACCTCCACCCTCCCATCACTCAGGGACAAGACTCTTCAACTCTTCAACTGAGGCAAAGCAACAAAATGTGTCGGTAACACCGGCCGGCGTAGAACATAAAATCACTTCAGGATCTTGTTTAAAAGCAGCCGAAGAGTCTTTTTTAAATTTTTTAATCTCTTGTGCACCTCACACACACACACACACACACACACACACACACACACACACACACACTAACACACACAT